TTCCTGGAGGCAAGCCTTCCAAAGATCCTCAGGGTATCCCCAGTCTGGATTCATATGGAAGTTTTCTATATCTGGACATCTCTGGAATTGGCTTAGCTATGGGTACCCTTCCTTTGAACTGACTTTTGACTTATGAGTCCCAGAAGACCATGTCTCTGCACCTGCATGAGGAATTTTAGAGTGGAGTGCTGGATTCAGAGTCCAGAGTGCTAACGACTGTCGAGAGCAAACTAAGTTGGGATAGGCCTTTATGTGTGGGAGAGGTGTCTGGTAAGTGAAGAGGTGGGGGATTTGCGGGGAGAACAGCTAAGAAAGGTGGAAAGGTGCTAGAATATAATGTAGCATAACACTGAAATTGATAATCCAATGCTATGTAAAACAAAGTTGAATCTCATAACTGTAAGGGAAATTAGCCAGATACAGAAAAATACATAATTATCATTCTATTTATATAAAGTTCAAAACCAAAACTATAGTGTTTGTGGATCCATATTTGAGTGGTAAAGCCATATAATAAAACAAGAAGTTTACAGCCTAACCTGTCATGAGTGTGACTTCCTTTTTGGGAAGAAGAAAGAGCTTGTACTTGAGCAGAGGCCCACAGGGATTTACAAAAGTGTTTGTTGATTGATCTTTGTGGTGGCTTGCATTGTAAAAACTTAAGGTACATATTTATATTTTATGTACTTCTCTCGGTTTTTCCTCAGAGTGTTTTAGAATGTGGAGATATTAGGATTGATCTGTACGTTCACTGTAAGAATGAAATATATAAAACCATATAGAGCTCTCAGAATATGTCTGGTACTTTGTAAGACTTTAATAAATATTTGCTATCTAAGTACAAGTTTGCTGTTGTTATTTCTGTCTGTTGCCAACCCCACTCCCTTTTCTCTTTCTTTGTTGCCAACATTTCTCAGCTTGCTATTTGTTTATTTCTGCTAATGCTGTATTCTGAATTATTGATCTTTTCCCTTATACTTCGTATCATCACTCTTAATCATAGAAAGTGCTATTCAATCTAGAGATTTAATAAAAATGTATTTTGCTTCAGTTTTTAAGAGTTGCTTTTGAACATTTGATTCTTTTTATCCCTTTCATAACAATTTGTTTTTGGAATTATTTTACCTATACATATTTATGGGGTATATTTGGATATACAATACATCTATATAACATGTAATGATCAAGTCAGGATGGCTAGCATTTATATCACTTTAGACATTTTTAAAGTTTTGATTAACACATAACAATTGTACATGTTATGAGGTACATGAATATAATATGTCCTGATCAAATCAGTATAATTAGTGTTTCCATCTCCTTGACACTTTGTATTTGGATCCTTGGTGCTCCTCTCTGCTGGTAATAAAATATATAACAGCTTATCGCTACCTGTAGTCATTCCACTGTACTGTGGAACACTAGAACTTATTCTGTCTGTGTTTTGGTAATAAAATATATTTTAAAGAATCAGTATGCAATTATATAAAATCTACATTTATTTCTGAAACTTAAGTGAAATGCATGTATAATGTCATAGGAAAAGTAAACTGATCATTTTTCCAGTCAGGTAATAATGTTCTTTTCAGCACCACCAAAGGAGTAATTCATCTTTCCCCTCACTGACTTCTGCAGCTGTCTCCTCTTGCATATGTTAAATTCATAACCATTTGCACCAAAACACAGACCCAGACTGGAAACATGGTACTTGAACTGAACGGGATAATACAGCTAAGAAGGGGAGGAGGGGACGGTTGCCAGGAAGCAGGAGGAATTACAGAAACAGAGAGAAAAAGAAAGGTAGAAAAGCCTTTGTCAAATAAGTGTCACTTAAAGACTCCATCCTTTTGTGTGGCACATGACCACTTACTGCTATGACAGTTGGCTAATGTTTATAGACCTCGCTTTTTTCATACATCTCCATATAACAACACATCACAGGATGCTGTGCATATGAGAACTAACACAAATATGGGACACAGGCTCTGGGCTCAGTTGGTCCCATGTCTCATCCTTGGTTCCACAATTAAATACCTACATAACCCTAAATAAGCTTCCTAACTTTCCACCCTGTTCATGTGAAATATGTGTCAATAATAATTAAAATAATTGAAAATTAGAAATTCTGTTAGCTTTCCATTGCTATGATAAAATACCTGAGAAAAACATCAAAGGAAGAAAGATTTATATTGGTCCAACATTTGATCACAATACTCCCATCAGGGGCATGCTCCCAACAACCTAACTTCCATCAACTAGGTCCCACCTCCTAAAGGTTCCACCATCACCCAGTAGCTAGTGCCCAAGCCTTTAGATATGGGCCTTTGTGGGACATTTAAAACCCAAACCATAACAGAAACAGAATGTTAACAGTAATCCTATCTTAAGTGAGTTTCTATGAGGAGTAAAGAGCTAATGCATTTAAAGGGTTTAGCTGAGCCTGGCACATAAGCTTTAAGAAAACCAATTCTGATGAGTTTAATTTTTACCACATTAAGGTCAGGAAACAAAAGGAGACTCAGAAGTAGGCACCAAAAGGATCTGGGAGGGGGAAGCTATGGACTGGTGTCATAGAAACAAGGGAAAATAGCATCAAGAAGGAAGGAAATACCATAAAAGGAGGTCATTCAAAGGCTAGTTTCTCCTGACAAGGCAAAGGAATAATGGAAAGAAAAAACTGGTAATTATAAATGACACAAAATTCCATAAAACACTTCTTTCACTTAATCACGCTTAACCACACTAGTCAGCCTAGGTCTTCATGCCTTCCTGTTAAAGAAAATATATAATTCCTTGTTTTTGAGACAGGGTCTTGCTATATAGCCCAGGCTGACCTCAAACTTGTGATCCTCCTGCCTCAGCCTCTTGAGTCCTGGGATTATAGGCATGCATCACTATGCCTGGTTGGTATATATTTGTTGAATAATGGAAAAGCCAGTGTCATGCAAAGTGAAATAGAAAGTATCAGCTTTGCCTCATTTTTGGTGAAATAAAAACTCAGACAACATCAAGTTTACACAAGAGAGAAGAGGATGGGGAAGGAATAAAAGGGAAAGAATTATAGAGCAGGTTTTCAAAGCAGTGATTTATACTGAACCTCAGTTATCTCCAGCAAAAAGGAGAGCAGTGGTAGGTATAACACTTTTTTTTTAACTTTACCTCATTTATGAATGAAATTATGACAGCATAAATTATAAGTAAGGGTAATCATTCAATAGCATTTATATACAGTAAAACTGAGAAAGGTGAGCAGGAAAATTGAGAAGCAGAATGACATTTTAATCTAGCATAGACCATTTATCCAAGGGTTGACTGGGGAGAGGTGGAGAGGAATAACGAGGTATAAACTTCTAAGATTGTTGAGGCCCCTGTGACTTTGGGGCCTGAGTGGAGCTGCCTCCTGCCTGGATGTGGAGGAAGGGTCCCCTTTGGCCCTGGAGAGATGGAGTTGCCCCTAGAGGGGTGCAGGGAGTGGGCTTCTTAAGCCTGTGGTCCTGGAAAGTTTTCAGCTAAAGGGTCCAGGGCAGGCAGGCAGGCCCTCCCAGTCTCCCTGGCATTGAGGGTTAAGGAGGCTGAGGCTTAAGGCCAACATGGATTGCTGGGGGCTCCTCCACCAAGGGATGAGTGTGGCTCCAGAGAAGAGGGCTGTTGTAAAGTGACATTGTAGAGGTATGGATGGAACAGGGAAAGAAGCCAGGGGAAGCAGAGCTGAGGAGGGCAATTCTAGAAGAAGCACTCCAAGGCAGGTTCTGGGTGTGGCAGCCCAGAAAAGGCTGCACTGGTATCTTGTAGCACCTGGCTTCTCCTCCTCCCTCAGAGCCCAGCCTGTGTCATCTGTCCCTTTTGAGTGGGCTAACAGAGTCCCAACACCTGTCCCCTCCCCACCCCAGGCCACATAAGCCCAAGATTCTGTATGAAACCTGCAGTCTACAATTCTACTGCCCAGGGCAGTTCCTATTGCCTTGTGGAAAAAGTTCTTTGGGTCCTCAGTTCAGCACTCATCTTATGGTACTCCTTGCCTTGAATGAAACCATCTCCCCATCTTTTCTATTCAAGATAGGGACTAATGAGCCTACAAGGAACTAATGTACCTCAAGGACAGAGGTCAGATGTCATCACCCTCCAATCTCAGGCCAAGAGCACATTCCCAATTTTTTCTGGAATGTAGTCCCTGGAAACACCCATTATTCTATTTTTGGCGCCTCCCCAGGATCAGACTTGTCAGGATACATTTGAGAACATTGGGGCATTATTAACTACTGGTGCAGATGTTGGTTCTATGATCTAGGAGACAGGTCAGTTGTGATAAGAGGCTCTTGGAGAGAGATTCAGCTCATTTCAGCTTCTTTCTGTAAGTTAGGCTGATAAAAATTCCACCTCACTGTATGACACCCCATATTATAGTTGCTACAATTAGATTTATTTTTTCCTTTATTTTCCTAAAAGTAACAGTACACACAGACATTAAATTAGATGCTTATATATAATATATATTCATTGAAGTCCACAAGATATATTTTTGATGAAAATACACATTATAGAACAGCACTTATATTTGATCACTTTTATCTATACATATGCATATATATATTATATATGTGGGCACACAGGTACAAGGAAATATCTAGGACATTCACTTAAGGGCTGACAATGGTTGTTATACAAAGGTGTGATTTTTAGGTAATTTGTACTTCAGCTTTTGTATTTTTCTTGTGGCATTTAGTAGAGATGCTCCTTTCATAAACAGAATAAAGTCATTAAAGACGCGCAGAGAAAAGACCCTTAAGTAAGGAGAGAAAGAAACAAGGAAGGAGGTCAGGCCATCATTCACCACTGTGCTGGAACACAGACTGCTTTTCCTTCCCAAAGGAAAACCTTTTGGATTAAATCATTCAGTTAGAAGCTTTCCCCACACACTCACACACATACACATCCCTGTTTTCCTGTACATCAAATTCTGAATACAGTTAAGGGTTCATTTAAGGGATGGGGCTAGCACCTTACTGTGGCTCAGAAGGGTTATCATGATTTTGAGAGACCTCTTTCGACTCCTCCTCTGTATTTGACAGCTGAAGAGTGACTATGAGATTCTCAAAAACCTGGTTCTTGTTGCTCTCATTGTCACAGGTTTCTTTTGAGTGGCCTTCCTGACCACAATGGGAGCAGTTCACTGTGTGTTTTCGCTTCCTGGCTCTATGCATATCCCCAGGACTATTATTCATAGGCCCAGAACTACCACTGGGGGAAGGAGACTGAGCCCTGGAATTGTTGGGGGAATCAATGACCAGCACTTGGTCCTGAGATCTGGCCCTGCCTCTGAGGGAAGGGGCACCTGAAGATGAGAGTGGAGGGTCCTCAGGCTCCACTAGGATCACATCCTCATCTGAGTCATCCAGGGCATCATCTATCTCTATCACATTGCAGTCAACACTGCTGGTTGCTCTAGGCGGGGACCCCTGCAACGCCACAGGGCTGGCTGCTCGCTCCATTACTGGTTCAGATCTTTTGGGCCGCTTCCGTTTAGTAAAGGTGTCATCCCAATCCTCTTCCTCCCTTACCATCCTGATTAAATCCAGGAAATTGGGAAGGCGTTCCTGCTCATTTGCATACATCCTGAGAAGATGCTTAAGCCTGCAGCGCAGGTCCCTACTCAGCTCAGCCCCTACAAGGAGCTGATGCAGGCGAGTCTGGTTTGCATCTCTCTCAGCTAGGACGCCTGCCTGGATAGCATTCTGGAGCTGCACCTCCAAACGGATCACATAAAGGGAGGCTTTCTCCCCCTCTGCCTGTAGGGTGTTAAAAAATTTACCATGGGCGGTCACACTGCTCTTAGACTCCCCAAATACCAGTTTCATTGCTCGCAAAAAATCGGTCACACTAAGGTTGGGGTTGGCAGCCTGGAGCAAACGCATGATCTCCCGGGCAGGGCCCCTAAGGGTTTTCATCAGGCATTTGAGCTTTTCCTCCTCTGACATATTCCAATCTGGCAGGACCCCATTGACTTGAGTAAGCCAATTTTCAAACGTTTCTTCCCCCTGTGCTGGCACCACCCTCCCAGAGAACAATTTCATGTTTCTTTCTGCCAGGTTGAACAATAAAGGACCAAGACTCAGACCCAGGGACCTCAACAGGGAATGGGCCCAACGTGGTAAGGGTGCATTCTGTTGGCGGCTGTTATGCACATGTGCAAGGATGCTAGCCATGATTGACAATGGTAGGGTATCTCAGGTTTTTCAGGAAAAAAAATCCAAATCTGCAGAAATCCTCAGAGCAGTGTTCCCGGGCTGTGTCTTCCTTATATTTCAGTAGGGACTGTAAAAGGGAGGAGAATGTTAATAACTAATAATGGAGTGGGGCTATAGGGAACCAGTCTGCTGTCACCTTCTCTACCTTCTTGAATTTTCTGCAGTATGATTTACATTTGTCCATTACCCTAAAAATACTCAGCAGGAGACTGGCAATTCCCACCTCTAGGAGCAATAAGGTCCCTATGCCAGCAGAATGTTTTTCAGAGCTACATCTATCCCCAGACATACACTGTAACCCCTGCTTGTTCTTCAGGAGGGGCAGCAACTGAAGAATTCCAGGTAAAATAAATCTGGCTGGGTGACTCAAGGCTGTTATCCTAGCTAGTCGGGAGGGGAAGACTGGGAGGATCATAACTTGGAGGCCAGCCCTGGCAAAAAGTTCTTGAGATCCCATCTCAACCAATGGCTGGGTTTCTGTTTGCGCATCTGCCATCCTAGCTAAGCACCGGGGAACCCAAACAGGAGGATTGTAGCCCAGGCCGGCCAGCGTTAAAGTGAGATCCTGTCTCAAAAATAACTAATGCAAAAAGGGCAGAATGAGTGGCCCATATGGCAGAGCACCTGCCTTAGCAGGCGTGAGGCCCTGAGTTCAAACTTACTTTCACCCCCACCGCCTAAATAAATAAATAAATAAATTTATTCTAAAAATAGAACTCTACATGAAATAGTCTTTGGGGCCGCTATGAGGCTTTCAAAATAGAGCACGATAGTGTAAATTCACGTTTTTATGTTAATAAGTAAGATATCTATTAACCTCAAGGTTCTGGGTCTCGACTATACCCCCTTCTCAAAACTTTTCCGTTATTTCTCAGATTCTTACAAGACTTGGAAAGCTAACACGTCCAGCCTCTGCAACAGGTGTCCCCTCCGTGTGAGAGCTCTCGTTCTGAGTATGATTGACCTCGGTTCCACAGGGTCGCAGATCCTGGTGTTTAGAGCGTCTGGGCTGCGCCACTGCAGAAGGAAGGAACAGAATGGTAGGGAAGGGTTACAAATGTCAGAAGCAGACTCTCCTGTCATCCGCTACCCCACCCCCATTCACTGTTTCCAGGAGGAAAATTCCCTCTCCCACCTTCCAATTAGAAACCAAAGTGCCCCCTCCCCACAATGTATTTCGCCCGCGTAATCATCGGCCTACCAGCTCTGCAATCAGCCGTACAAAATCAAAATTTGGAATCTTCTTTGATGGTCTGCCACGGAGAAAAGGAACAGAAGTTGGATACCCTTCCACCTCCGTATTTTTTCCCAGGAAGAGATGCGATGCAAAGGGGGTTCAATTCTCACCCCTGCCTCTTGCTACCTTCCTGAAAACGCCCCCTCCCCAGTCCTAACAAATCGTACCTGTCGGCTGCATCTAGGTGAACCCCACCTCCTTCCCCAGTGTAGCCAGGCCGCTGCCTTCGCAGTTACCAATTCTCCTAGTCAGCAGACGCCCAGAACTGGTGGGGTTTCACCCCCCACACACCCCCACCCTCCGCGTCACGCAATCGCTCCCTCTTTCTTTACCTAAGCTCCGGAGGTGGGCAGCAAATGCTCAGGCTTTGCTGACAGCTCTGTTTTGCCTTCTGATCCCTGGGGCCCTGCAGGGGGAAAGGATGGCGCCTCCCCGGCAGCTAAGCGACCTGGAGCTGCCGAACCAAGCGCGAGCCACTTCACCGGCCTGCCCAGCGAGGGGTAGCAATGAAGGTAGCGCGGTTGCCAAGGCAGCAGAGGCTGCCCCCGCCCTCCAGCTCCGCCTGCCCAGCAGCGGCACTGCTTTTAGCCTCTGCCCATTGAGACAAAAGAGTGTGACGAGAGGGGCTGGGCGGCCAATCAGAGGGAAGCGGGGGCGGCCTCCCCGCACAGCCTAGTCCCTGATGCTAATGCCTGCGAGAGGGGGGCGCTTGCTGACGGGGGCTGCGGCAGACCAGCGCGGGAGCCCGCGCGGCGTCAAGTGCAGCTTGGACGCACGGACCCGGCCCATTTACATTTCACCCGTGAGTTTGCTGCTTCCTCTCGGTTCTCTTCTTCCTATCGCCTTCCGCCTCGGCTCTCCTCTGAGCTTTAAGACTGGATGCCTTAAACACGAGGTGGGACCGAAAGCAAACGAACAATGAGAGTTCTTCACCTTTGTATAGGGGGAAGGGAAAGGGAAAAAAAGCACTTACTGAGCGTTTTCGGTGTGGAAGTGCGTTTGCACGGACGTTTCATTTTTTTTTTTTTGGCAGCCTTGTGAAAAGCGGTGTACCCATTTAACAGAAAGGGGGGGCATAAGCACCCAGATAGTATGATCAGCAAGTGCAGAGCAGAGCTCATACTCAAGTCGTTATGTCTGACTTCAAAGGCTGTCCCCTTTAAACACTTCTCTCTACGGTCAGATTAAGAGTGGGGATGGGAGGATCAATTTGGGGCTATATAGAATTAGTGAGCAAGGACTAATATCTCCATTTTACAGATGAGGAAACTGAACCACAGAGAGATCTGGCATCTTGCACTGTATCATACAGCAAATTACTAACAGCATCCGATTTTTCACCCTACTCTTGTTCTGTTTTAGGCAGCTCTTTGCCCTGCTGAGCTACCTGGAGGGCGTTTTTATGTAGGTAGCCTCAAATCATCTCAGCAGCAGTCTTGATGTGATGGTAGTGCTGAGGCGAGGGAGTGAGGAGCAGTGGGGGGACGGGGTGAGTGAAGAAGATGATAATCTTTATGGTACCCATTGTACAGAAGAGGAAACCGAGGAAATTTTCTTTCCCATTTTACACTAGCTTTTACTCTGCAACAAGCTTCCCGTCGATAAAATAACATTGTTTTTACAGCCCATTATGATCCCAAAGGCGATTTCACTCAGTGAAATGACTTGCCTATAATTACAAGGCTGAGACAAACTTTGGAATGAGTCTTTGAATGCAGAACTCATTCCTAGTACCCAAAGTATGGGTACAAGGACATCTGCTTTGGAATCATTTTGGAGGGCTTGTTAGACATACAGGTTCCTGAGCCTCATCTCTGGGGATTTTTGTTTACTAGGACTAAGGATCGGGAGTGTGATTTGTGTTTTAACTGTTGCTATAGTTGATTCTGAGGTGTAGAAGGGCTTGTGAACCACTGTTCTGAACAAACCACATCATGCTAAAGGTTATGTACCTGCCCAAAGAATAACTGAAATTGTATTCAAAGAAGATTTAATGCTGTGCATTTTAATGAGTCCATAGTTCTGAAGATTTTCAGATGGCCTGTGGTCCTAAAACAGCTAAGAACCACTACTCTACAACCTTTCTTCATAACATCTTCTTCCTTCAACTCCTGCTTGAGGAAGAAGTGTGAGAAGTGAAACACCATTTGACCTAACTCTCTACACTACAGCTCTCTGCCGCTGATATAGCTCTTTCATTTCCTGGCTCAAGGATAGGTTGCTAGGTTGCCCTTCTGTGAGCTCTTCAGGGGACTTCTACTTTGCTGGATTTGGCATCACTGGCCCCAGAGAAGTAGCAACTCCATGGAAACGGCATGCAGGGCTGTCCAGAGTGAATGGGCCGTGAAGCTAGTGGCTAGAAAACCTGCTCCATTTTCCCTGACTTCTGGTTCTTAGAGAGCAGGTATTACTTCCTGTAAGTAGACTGTGGTTGGGAGACCCCTGTGGGGCTTGCTCTTGACTCCTGATGCTTGGAAGCAAGTGAACAATCTGATGCTCTTTGCTGTTGGGTTCCTCTTCCGCTGGCTGAGGTACTTTACCTCTCTTTTCTGCCTTATTTACAAGCTCAATATCTAGAATTCCTTGGAGTAAACAATCCAAATTTGGAGAGGAAGCACCTTCCATCTCAGAGTTATGATCTTCCCCTTGGAGATGGAACAGTGGGGTGGTGGTGGTGAAAGGTGGACAGCGTTGGAGGCAAAGAAAAGGCAAGTCTGGGGTGAGGCTGGCACTAGGTTTTGGGTTTCCTTCAGACTCTTGCTTCTTCTCCTCAGTACCTGACGCTGAGTGCTCAGTAGACCATTGTTTTGGGTTTTTATTGGCTTCATTGCCACATTAGGTGTCTGCACTTGGACCTGTTGGGGATGGGATGAAATAGTACTAAAAATAGATCTCAGAGTTCTTACAAAAATAATGAAAGGAAATGGATTGTGTAAGGGTGTAGGAGTTAGGCCATTAGAAGAAAGTATAAGAGTCTCTTTAGAGCAGGATTGGGAGAGACATTTGCAAATTTACAAGCTGGCTTCAATTGGATACCTAGCATCCCTTATCTCTGACCTCATGTGTGTTCCAAATGATGGTTCTAATGAGACCACATTTTCCATTTTCAACAAATAAACCTTAAAAGCTGGACAGTTAGGAGATAGAGCTTTCAGATGAAACAATAGTAGCTACTTTTTGGCCTCCTGCCTCCTCTCTGCCAGGAACTTTCTGTCTGTCATTTCATTTAAGCTTCTCATCAATCCTGCTGAAATAGACATTGTTATTCCCATTTTGCAGAGAGGGAAATTGAGTTTCAGAGAGGTTAAGTAATTTGTGTAAGGCCACATAACTTGTAAGCAGAGCCATTAGGACTCCAGCCCAGGACTGTTGAACTCCGCAGCTCATGAAAATTCTTTTCTACCGTTTTCCAAAGGAAAAAAATTTAATGCATTCTGTAGGGCCGAGAATGTAGCTTAGTGGTAGAGCAGTTGCCTAGCATCTGTGAGGCCCTGGGTTTGATCCCCAACACTGCAAGAAGGAAAGAAAAAAAAAAAGAATCATTCTGCGGATGAACCAGTATGTTAGACTAGTAGTAGTCTTTGGGACAGTTTCATTGTAGTTTTACTTTAATTGCTAGTATTTAAATAAACTACTAATAAAACTTATGGAACAACTTACATTCCAGGTACTTTATCTCATGCAACCGTCATAATAGTCATGATAATCATTTTACAAATAATGATACTGAGGCTCAGTTAAGTGAAGAGACTTGGCCAAGGTCATAAAGCTAGGAAGTGGCAGAATAAAATTCAAATCCAGGGTGTCTGACTCCAGAGTCCATATCTATTCCTACAACATAATGCAGTGGAGGCAAGCAGCATGTAGCTCTCATTCTATACAGACTCCTCTCTGTCAGCCTCAGTGCTCTCTTCTCTTTTACTGTCTGCCACCAGCCCCACGGACCACTCGTACTTTTAAGCCTTTGTGTCTTAGCTCTCCTCCTTAGCCTAGAATGACCATCCTCATTCCTCCACCTAACAAAAGCCTGTCCATTGTTTAAGGATCATTTCAGATACCCTTGCTCAGTGAGTTTTTTATTAGCACATATTAATAGTACATATTAATTGGGTACAGTGTAACATTTTCTTGTACCATACAACGTACATTGATCATATTCAGCTATTCTTCTTCCAGGCTCCTTCCCTTCCCAATCCCCAATAATTACTATTCTACTTCTGGGTCAATTTTTTTAGTTCCTTTCCTTTCCACATATTTTTCTATACCCGGCTAATGTCACCTAGCCTAATGTCCTTAATTTCCATCCATTAACTGCAAATGACAGGATTTTATTCTTTGTTGTGACTGAATAATTATTATAAGTATTAGTGTACATATCACATTTTCTTTATCCATTCATCTGTTGATGGGCACCTACTGTAACTTAACCATTGTGAATAGCGCCACTTACAATGAACTTGGGCATACAGGTATCTTTTTGGTATGTTGATTTCATTTCCTTTAGATACATACCCAGGAATGGAATAGCTTGGATCATATAGTAGATCTATTTTTAGTTTTTTGAGAAACCTTCATACTTATTTCCATAGCAGCTATACTAATTTGCATTCCTACCACCAACATGTAAGAATTCTTTTTTCTCCACATCCCTGCCAACATTGAGTTTTTCCTGTCCCAGGCGGAATAAATTGCTCATCTTTCTTTGACATTCATTATAGTACCCTTTATTTTGTGTTCTACTACAGGTTAGCTCATTGTTGAGTTGTCTCCCCTACTAAATTCCCAAATCCTTGAGAGCAGGTATCAAATCCTATTCATCTCCAACTCCACAGTGACTTATCCATATTGATTTAGTAGATGATCGATGTATGTTTGTGAGCTGACCAAAGGACTAGTGACTGAGGATGTCTCAAATGAACAGACAAATGTGGGACTGGATCTTGGGACGGTCACCCAGGATACCCACCTGCACTAAACTGACCAGAGGAGTCTGAAATCCCCCAGGCTCATTTGACTGAGTTGTAGACATAGTAGGCAGATCAGAGGGTGTAGGTGATAACTGCTCAAAATCAACTCCAGGCCATTCTACTTTTCATGCTAATGGGACAGATTGTTTCTGATGTTTAGAAGAAAGGCCTTCCCTGCCTCCCATGGGAACACAGGGTTTGTTCTGGGTGGCCTGAGATTGACCCGCAGGAACATGTGCTCTATGGAGACAGATAATGAGGTTGGGAAACATCATTTTTTGATACTTTGTATTAAGGCCAAGAAGTCATGAATTCTCAACCACATTATCTCATTTTATGTTATTAATTTTTGCAGCAAACTTTTGTGACAGGCCCTGTTGTTCCCAAACTGTAGCTGAAGAATCCAAGACTGAATGAATACAAATGTCCTCCTGAGGTAATACAGCTGAGTGAGTGGTGAAGACGGAATCCAGTCTCAGATCTTTCTGTCACCAAAACATCTTAACAGAAAAACATACAGGAAAAAGTGGACTGTCTTCCCCCATAAAACAGAAAGCATTAGATTTATAAAATATTGAATGAGATATTTAAGGTAAGGTGTTTCTAGATGATTGTTCACCTTTAATTCCTCAAAATTATTTGCATAAAGGGCAGAAATAATCACTGGTACAAAAGTGAAATTCTTCTATCAACCATTGATCTGAATTCACCCATATCCATCCCCTAAGACGCTGTACAGTTATGGGGATCCAACAGAGTATTTTCCCCTGTCTGCTCATTTTCTAACTAAAGTAGATGGGGCTCCAGGATGTCAGTAAATTTCTAACTATCACCTAGAAAGTTGATAAGAGAATTGGTCCTTATAATGCTAGTCCACCAAATCTTAGCCACTGTCTTTCTGTTAAATCAGCCTGCCTCATGGAGTTAGTGAAACATACGTTTATAAAAAAGGTGGGGAGGAAGTGGAACATTACTGCTCTCTGAGGTAGAAGAGGAGATAAACATTTATCTCACCACAGTGGTCCAGGTGAGACTTGGCAAAGACCTTTAGTAGGAGAGCTGAGGAATGCTCTGGGCCCCTGTGACTTTGGGGCCTGAGTGGAGCTGCCTCCTGCCTGGATGTGGAGGAAGGGTCCCCTTTGGCCCTGGAGAGATGGAGTTGCCCCTAGAGGGGTGCAGGGAGTGGGCTTCTTAAGCCTGTGGTCCTGGAAAGTTTTCAGCTAAAGGGTCCAGGGCAGGCAGGCAGGCCCTCCCAGTCTCCCTGGCATTGAGGGTTAAGGAGGCTGAGGCTTAAGGCCAACATGGATTGCTGGGGCCCCTCCACCAAGGGATGAGTGTGGCTCCAGAGAAGAGGGCTGTTGTAAAGTGACATTGTAGAGGTAGGGATGGAACAGGGAAAGAAGCCAGGGGAAGCAGAGCTGAGGAGGGCAATTCTAGAAGAAGCACTCCAAGGCAGGTTCTGGGTGTGGCAGCCCGGAAAAGGCTGCACTGGTATCTTGTAGCACCTGGCTTCTCCTCCTCCCTCAGAGCCCAGCCTGTGTCATCTGTCCCTTTCTGGGATGGGAGCAATAGTTTGGAGTCTTTGCACTGCCTTTTCCCTATATATTGTGATTCTGAACCTGGAGCAGTTACAGTCCAGCGGATGTGTGGCCATGTCTGGATTTTTTTAGTTTTTGATTTTCAGATTGGGTAGATTTGGACTGGCATTATTAGTATGAAGTGAGTAGAAGTCATGCATGCCACTGAACATCCTACACCGAACAGGATGGGCACGGCACCTGGCAATTTCATGTCTATTCTGACAGGAACAGGAAGTCTCCCCTTCCCAAACTTACTACCAACTTTTAGGGAAAGGATCACACTACAACTATTGAATATTTTAAAAAGTTGTTTTCGGCAGTACTGGGGGTTTGAACTCAGGGCCTCATGCTTGCTAGGCAGGCACTCTACCACTTGAGCCACTCCACCAGCCCTGTTTTGTGTTAGTTTTTTTTTCAAGATGGAGTCTTTTGAACTATTTGCCTGGGCTGGCTTTGTGATCCTCCTGATCTCTGCCTTCCAAGCAGCTAGAATTATAGACATGAGTCACCAGCGCCTGGCTTAAAAACATTTTTTTTGTGGGGCTGGTGATGTGGCTCAGTGGACATGCCTAGCATGTGTGAGGCCTGGGTTCAATTCCTAGCACCACAAGAAAAAATTATTTTGGAAAGAGCATAGCCACTTACTACTCTAGTAGTTGATAAAATGTAAATGTTATGTTGTGAAAGTTAAATGCAATAGGTTTTGGAGCTTCCTCAGTTTTATGTTTTTCAGCTGAAATCCTTTGAATATTGGAATATTTTCTGTGTCAGCAAACACTGTAGAGGTGACTCAAGAGAAACTAACTGCCTTTATTTTCATAAGGTTGATGAATTCTTAATTTCTTAAGGATGTATCTGTTTCTCAGAAACAGGTCCAAAGGTTTAGCTGAGTTTCTTGGGCTTTGTTTCTAACCAAGCAATGAAAATGCTTGCCAACAGATTTAAATGGTCAGTCTAACCTCTTTTTCCCCCCTCTTGCCAGTTTGCTCCATCTGCATCCAATTACCTTCAGCATGGGGGAGCAGAACCACTCTGCTGGGAAGGACTTCAGCACAGGACACGAGCAGAGGTTCCAGGAAAGAAAGCTGGCACTCCCAGGCCTACACCCTTGGTGCCATTTCCAACTTTATGTCTACTTTTCTGACCTTTCCTATCTATAAGGTTGTGTTCCGGCAGCAGATCCATGCTATGGCAGTATCAGAGGCTATGAGGCAGCTTTGGCATGAAGGTCCTCAATACTTCTACCGGGGTATTTACCCTCCTCTTCTCTCCAAGACTGCAAGGGACTCTATTGTTTGGGACTTATGATAGCCTGCTGTGTTCTCTCTCCCCTGTTGGGCCACACCCCCTGGGACACCGCTGGGCTGCAGGGCTCATGTCTGGTGTGGTGGAAGCTGTGGCACTCAGTCCCTTTGAAAGAGTACAAAATGTGCTTCAGGATGGTCGGAAGCAAGCTCGCTTCCCCAGCACCTTCAGCATTCTCAAGGAATTCAACTCTTACGGGCTTTGGGGGCGGTTGTCACTAGGCTATTATCGTGGTTTCTGGCCTGTGCTTGTCAGAAACAGCCTGGGGAGTGCTCTCTATTTCTCTTTCAAGGATCCCATCCAGGATGGCTTGGCTCAGCAGGGCCTGCCCCATTGGGTTCCTGCCTTGGTGTCTGGTAGTGTCAATGGAACAATCACCTGCCTAGTTCTGTATCCTCTGATTGTTCTGGTTGCCAATATGCAGTCCCATATTGGTTGGCAGAGAATGCCAAGCCTGTGGGCCTCTGCCCGGGATTTGTGGGACACTCGGGGTCGAAAGGTACTCTTGATCTACCGAGGAGGCTCCTTGGTTATCATAAGGTCCAGTGTGACATGGGCCTCACTACTGCTATCCATGACTTCCTACAGAGGAAGTCTTACTCCAAGAAAGAGCTGAAAGACTGACTAACTTCAGGAAGTGTGGCCATGCTATCTTTGGGCTAAATCTTCCCTTGTTGGTTCTTCATAGCTTCCTTCTTTGGCTTGGTTATCTAATACAATCTTTAGCATCTGTAAACTGTCATCGCCTAGGAAAAGTTCCCAGCTACCAGCATGTTGGGCACAGAGAAAGCCCAGCAGGATTCCTTGCTCAGAAAGAGAAAGTCACCACAGTCTATACACAGGTTCAGTAGCCTCAGAGCCAGGAGCCTTTATTAACTTGTAATCCAGATGAAATGTCATTCCTTTAAGGAATTCTTTAATAAGAAGATACTTTAAAAGATGACCTTACACAGGAACTATGAGTCTGGATCTCTCCAGGTATCCTCCAGACCAAACTGAGTGAAACTCTAATTTTGAAGAATTATTCTTTGACTCTGATGATGGGGATTCCATAAAACTTCTCATATGGCTACATTTTCATAACATTGTTCACAGTCTCTGCCACAATCACTTTCACTTCAGGGTATAGGTCCTAGTTTCAGGGTAGAAGCTATGACTAGAAACCCTAAATTTGGCTTGCTTCAACTCATGGAGGTGCCACAAGAACTGGCAAGGCTGGAGATGGGAGTGAGAAAAAATGTGTTCCCTGGATGGAAAAAAATAAAGACTAAGGCTAAGATTTAATTATATGCAAAATGGAAAATTTGCTTTAGTTTTCTTGGTGTTATTTGCTGGGACATTTTTTGTAGCAAGGTGATTACATTGCTTAAAAACCACTTAAGTTTCCCTAAGAAATCTGGAAGTGAAATGGCCATATCTCTTCACAGTTGATTGTATATTTTATTGATGTGACTAAACATAGTTACTATGACAGAAAGATCAGAAATCTTAGCCTGTCATTCAGAACCATTGAAAATATGGCCCCATATAACTTTTAACACATCACACCACTTCCACTTACGTGAATGCCATATGCCAGCCAAAATGAACTATTGTTCTCCCCAAACATGCCCTGAACTTACCTATGGCCATAATTTGGTCTACACAATTCTTCACTTTCAGTCTCCTTCTTTTGGTTAGTCTACCAAAATCCTTCCACTTCCTCAAAAGTCTGGCTCATATTCTACTTCTCTATGAGCCTCTTCTCTATTCCCCCAAATGAATGTGACATTAGTCTCTTGGAAGGCCCCTTTCTAATAGATACCAAAATGATACTGATTCCTTTATGTTACTCATCCATGTGGCCCTGTGTTCTTGCTATTCTTCAGTACCCCCATTACACTGTAAACTTCTTGAAAAAGGATTCTGTTAGGCATTTTTTAAAATCCTCCATTGTGCCTAGGTGCTCAGTAATGTTGGTGAATTATTGAATTGATTTATAAAGCTGTATAATGGTCAATATCCTCAGGTGCTGTCCCCTGTACATGAAAATAATGTTACTGACTCAGTGTCACAAGACACATGCCTTTGGATGTTTTTTGTTTTCTTTAATAGTGGATTTAGTTTTTGTGCTAATGAAATTTATGCCAATGATGGTAATAATAACATAATAAAAATTACTTTCAACTGGAACATTTGATGAGTTTGTATTATGTATTGCTGTTATAACTACTGTCAGAACTGAGAATTTCTCAAACAGAATCACAATTGTTGCATTCATTTTTTTATCTTAATTTTAAAATTTTTTTCTTGATCATATTATTTTTATACAAACATTGGTAAGCTTATAGATTTTTTGTTGTAAGTTTATTTAATATATTCTTTTTTTGGCAGTATGGGGTTTGAACTCAGGACCTCACATGCTTGCTATGCAGATGCTCTACACTTGAGCCACTCCACCAACTCATTCCATCATTTCACTCTGAAATTCTGAGTAGTTTGGGATGACCTGTGTGCAATTCTCCTATAGATGATAATGCCCTCCGCTTGCGCTCTTACTAAACCAAATGTGTCCCTTATAATGACCTATTGTGTCTAGCAATGAGAATTCCTCATGGCATGCCATAGAAACGAAAAACAGTAGTTGGCTATATGATATCTGAGAACTTTGGCCACCAAGGTCAACAGAAAGTGATTG